AATAATTCTATAAAATAGAAACTATAGTTTTTGACGAAGTTTATCAAGATATTCTTGATTTTCTTTCACTTCGGAATGATCACATCCGAATAGAAGACGAGTCATATCAACAGCTTTTTGTGCATATTCTACAGCTTCTCGATATTGATTAAGACGTTCAAATGTTTTTGCTATATTGTAAAAATTCACCGCTATTTCTGGATCAATTGATTGAAAAGATTTTTGTCGAATATTCAGCGATTTTTGATAATGCGAAAGTGCAGTTGAATAATTTTCCATTAAATAATACATCATCGCAATTTTATCACAAATATCAGCTAATATACTGTGTGTCGGTGAAAAAATTTTTTCTTGAATTTCAAATGTCTTTTGAAAATGTAATAATGCTGTCGAATAATTTTTCATTCTATAATGTGCAACACCAATATTCAGATGAATTAAAGCTAAATCGAGATGAACAGCTGGAAGAATTTTTTCCCGAATTTCAAGAACTTTTTTATAACACAACAATGCTATTGAGTAATTTCCTAGGCTACCTTGTACAACTCCCATGTTGTTGTAGACATTTGCAAGATCAGGATGAGTTGGTGAAAGAGATTTTCGTTGAATTTCAAGTGCCTTTAAAAAATTAGACATTGCTGTCTTGTAATCTCCCATATGCTGATAGGCCACACCAATGTTACTATATGTGGCCGCTAGTCTAGAATGACTCGATGAAAGAGTAATTTGTTCAATTTCTAATGCTTTGTCATAGTATGAAAGTGCTTTGGAATAATCTTTCATTGAACTATGTATTCCTCCAATATTTTTATAGGTCATTGCTAGATCGGGATGTGTACTTGGAAGAGATTTTCGTTGAATATCTAGAGCTTTTTGGTAGTATTCAAGAGCAATTTGATAGTCATTTTTTGAATCATACACAAAACCGATATTATTATAAGTTGTTGCTAAATCTGCATGTGTAGATGGAAGAGCTGTTTTTTGAATACTAAGCACTTTTTGAAAATATTCAAGAGCAGTTGAATAATCTCCAATTGCAGCATAAGTACAACCCATGTTTCTATTAGTCGTTGCCAGATCAGGATGGATTAATGGAAGACTTTTCTCTTGTATTTCAAGTGCCTTTTGATAATATGATAGTGCAGTTGAATAATCACCCATCGAATCATAAACAAAACCTATATTATTGTAAGTTTCAGCTGGTCTTGAATGAACAGTTGGGAGAGATTTTCGATAAATTTCAAGTGCTTCTCGATAGTTTGCTAGTGCAGTTGTATAGTCTCCTTTCGAATGATAGATAACGCCAAGATTATTAAAACTTAAACCTAAACTTGGATGATTTGGTGGAAGAACTTTTCTTCGGATTTCAAGTGCTGTTTGATGATGAGAAAGTGCATTTGAAAAGTCGCCCATCAAACGATACACCGACGCAATATTATTATGAGTTACAGCCCAATCAGAATCTTTCGATAAAGGAATTTTTTCTTCGATTTCACGTGCTTTTTTATACATCGAAAGTGCAGTTTCATATTTTCCCATGCACTTATATACTAAAGCAATATTACTATAAGTTGCATAAAGACCAGAATGTGTAGAAGAAGCTTTCTGATAATTTTTGATTGCTTTATCATAGAATTCCAATGCTTTATTGTCTTCACCTTTATTAGCATAAATAATTCCAAGCTGATTATAAAATGTGGCACATATTTCCCAATCATCGATAGCTGTCGTTTCGAGAAGTTTTGTATAAATCTTTTCGGCTTTATCATATTCATTTAATTTAATCATCAACCAACCTAATCGATGATAATGAGAACCTCCACCAATTTCTCTACGTATATAATCAGTTAAACATTTAAGTTGTTCATCATTGTCATTTGTTAATGTTAATTTAATTTTCCATAATCGATTTTCAATTTCATTCATATCACCAATTCGAAATATTGTATGCATAGAAAAGAGAACTTCTTGTTCTGCAGTTGAATAGTAACTAATATGATCTAATGAAGCAAACGGAATTGATGAAATCATAGGATCAATTTCAATTTCAAATAGAACTCCTATGAGATTTGGATCGGATCGAGAACAATCTGCAAAAAAATGAGAAACTAATTCATCGGTACTCGTTGATAAAAAATTATTGAATGAAATTAAACCACCATGACTTTTCTTTAATTTTTCAAAATCAGCATTGAACATGCCTTGACCACGATAAACAATTATTTTTGTTGTATGATGAGTCTCAAAATGTAATTGTACAATTTGTTTATGAAGATCTCGAACAAAAAATGCCATCTTCATAAGAACATCAATATCTTGTGTTCTCAAAGCTCGATTAAGCATAGAATAGATAAATGTTTCTTTTGTATACCACCAAATAGGTGAATGATGTTCATATGTACGTTTAAATTCATCAACAGTATTTAATAATATTCTGTTATCAGCATACAAATTATATAGAAAATCAACAAACAATTGTTTTGCCATTTCATCATGTTTCATTTCTATAAAGATTTCTTTTAATAATTGTGTATACATAAATGACGATTCAATTTCATTTAAATTTATAGTCGAAGTTTCACCAATAATATTAACCGACATTAGACTTTCTTCGCATAGTCGTGTATTTCGTTGTAATTGAGGAAAAATAAATGAAATATCGTCGAAAATTTTTCGAACTTTTCTCCAATCTCTAGTCCAATTATTCTCGATTGTTTTACTTTTACATAAAATATACACAGAATCTAGTTGTGATAGATTATGTACGAGTGGTAAAATGATATCGGCAAGAGTATTTGTCACGATCAGAAAAACTTTTTGATCGTGAATGTTTTTAAGAAATTCGGCACAAGAATCAGGTTCATTAAATGTGAAAAGTAAATCGGAATAGCGACGCAATTCAATTATCGAATCATCCATTTCATTGATGTTTGACTCAAGCCAGATGAAAATAAAATTTTGAATGAATCGATGTTGATCATTCTGTGACGTGGTAGCAGTATTTGAAGATTTTTCTGCCATGATTCGGTTCTAGAATAGAGTGAATATTGTGTCGCTAACTTTTATTTTATATCTTTATTATTAAAAAAGAACCACCTTATCAGTCTCGTTACTTAAATACGTATACGCATACTGTGCACATAAAAAACGAGATAAGAGCGAGCAATAAACTCTCAAAGTATAATACGTTATGAATCAGTTTAATGTCAGTGCAGAGATAAGTTTATAGCCATATAGATAATATACTACGAAGGATATAAAGGAATTTTTATTACAAAACTTATCGACAACAGTATACGAATACAAAAAAAGGTGAAACCTCAACAGCGAACTATAAAAATATTGAACTTCGGCTCTCATCGGATTCGAAAATCCCATTTTAGACAATGATTATATCTGACTTTGTCTCTTTCATTCTACAAAGATTTGCTTTAGTCAATTCCAATCGAAATCGAATCTGAATGGTAATATATTATTCTTCTGCTATGGCTTTTTTCAAGGTTTTTTCATGATGTTCGATGGATTTGCCGTACTTATGAAACTTAATGATGAATCTCATTAAACTACGTGTCGATATCTAAAACGCTGAATGTTAGAGCCAAGATATTCACATAACTCCACTAGCAATATTACTGTATCAAAATCAGAATGAAAATTTAAATTTATGTCAGTCTTCAACATTTATCAATTCTGAAGTATAAAATTCGACGAACTGTTGAGCTTTGTAGTTCTATAGTACTCATAAATCGAATATGAAAATATCGATTTATAACTGCTTTGATATAGGTCTCAACTGAAAGAAGGGTGATACGCAGAGTGAGTTAGGGTTGTACAGCTCACGCTCATGAGTCGCTCATATGAGCGTAAGCGTTTCTTGTTTGAGATGATACTGGATCGTTCATGATCACTTTGTACCACTTTATTCCACGAAAAACGAAATTTACAATTTTTGTGCCTGGGATCCGCCACGAATATCACCAAGAACAGAATTTTTTTCGCAAGTAAAAAATCAGATATACTTAAAGATTCACAGGTGCTGATTACGAATATCGTACCAATTCGATCGAAAAAAAGCGTTTGCTGAAAAAATTTCGACATATACCCCCAATTTTCGGTCATTTGGTCATCCAGGTAGGAAAAGCGAATTTTCTCAACAATGCTAAGGAATTTAGTTAAGAGTATGCGTAACTTTTTTTGTATCGATCTGATGATTCGAACGCTATATAAAAAATAGTTTCAGCTGTTATACTAAAAGAGGAGATAGATTTACAATGTGAACATATTGGTCCAATTAAAGCTGAATCTTGATAAACTAACCAAATCGAACCATATTGGTCAAATGTAATCAAACCTACCTAAATATCATAGTTTTATATGCTCGATTTAAATAAAATACTTTTATCGGAAAAAACCTAATGTAAGATAGACTAACCTTCAAATTTCTAGTAAAAAGGCTATTTTTTGCTTTTTCTAAAATTCTTTGTATTTCGTAAATTTCTTGACTCAGACGAGGTGTAAGACGTTAAAAACTACATATTCCTAACCAGCGTGAGAAACTCTATCGATTGGCGTACAACTTAGCTAAATGTATTTTATGCTCGACTTTTGCATTACGCGCACCTTACTTAAAATGAATAATTTTGTTCAATTTGATATCAATCCACAATTATGCATCAATAATATTTCTTATTATCTATGGGTCATTAGCACATCAAGTTCTGCCTGAAATACATTATTTGATAGCAGTTCATTCAATATTTATATTTCGTTTGGATCATAGAAAGGATACTTTTCTACTTGAAAATTATTCTAAAATTATTGGAATATATAGAGATGAAAATTCCCTAATCAAATCAGTTGAAAATGGTATTCGTTTGATTTCGAAGTATCTGCTAGCATTTAGTCTATTTAATCAACAACGGCAAAAAATCACTCGAGATTTATCCGAAGATTCGGCATTTTTCTTGTGGATTCAATTATTAATCGATGCTCTAAAACAAATGCCACAAACAGAAGATTCCAAGCATGAAATGCTGAATAAATGTTCAGATTATTATCGAACAAATCAAGTCGAACTCAAAAAAATTGAATTATTTCGTAATAACTATACATCCGATAAGGCAATTGAATGGTATACTTGCGATTCCTTTATTTACAGACTTCTTAACAAGGCTCTAAGAACAGAAGATATTGATTTACTATATTTATTTCGGTTTTATATTATTGATTTATGTTCACAAATAGAACAAGAAAGCAAGAGAAAAGTAATTGACACTGAAACATTCACACTTTATCGAGGTCAACAGATATCAACAGACGAATTTAATAAATTAAAAGCCAATGTTGGTGTTCTTATATCAATAAATGGATTCTTTTCGACCAGCCGTGATATGAGTATAGCTCAAGGATTTATAGCAGGTGCTAACGATACAGATTATATGAAAACAGTTCTATTTGAAATAAAAGTTCAATCTAATCTTGAAAAAGTTATGTTTGCTGATGTTGACCAATATAGTCGAATACAAGGTGAACAAGAAGTGTTGTTTAGTGTTGGAGCTGTGTTTAAGATTGACAATATCCAGTTCGATCTATATCTACAACTATGGAAAATTGCAATGACAGCAACGGATGATGGTTTAACAAATATTCAAAACTATGTTAATTCAATCAGACAAGAAATAGATGATATCAGTCCAAGTATTTTATTTGGAGCTCTTCTTTTTAATGAGATGGGACAAATTGATAAAGCAGAAAAATATTTTAATATGTTGTTAAAAACATTGCCAAGAGATCATCCAGATGTTCCTGATGCTTATGACCAAATTGCTAATATTTTTGCTGAACAAGGAAAATTGAATATGGCATTAGAAAACTATACACATGCATACGAAATACGTCAAGTCCGATTTCTTAATGATGATATCCACATAGCAAACTCCTTACATAATCTTGGTTTCATCCATAAACAAAAAGGTGAATATGATAAAGCAATGGATTATTATAGAAAAGTTCTAGCTATTGATGAAAAAAATTATCCAAATGACCATGCCAATAAAACTCATACTATGATATGTATAGGTATGGTATATAATCTAAACAAAGAATATGATTTTGCATTAGATTACATGATGAAATCATATGAAATGTATAAAAGACTGTTACCCTATCAACATCCATATATTTCATCGACTCTGTGGAATATTGGAGAAGTTTATAAAAATAAATTAGAATATGATTGTGCACTTGAATTTTATCATTCTGCGTTGGAGATGAACGAAAAGATTTTACCCAATGATCATCCAGATCTTAAGAAGAATTTAGATCAAATTACTGAATTATACACAGAAAAGGGTGACTATGCGCAGGCTTTGAATTATTGTCAAGAAAAGCTGACTATCTTAAGGAGTGTATTAGAAGAAAATCATCCAAGAATTGTTCATATTCTAATGAAGATCAATGATTTAGCAGAACTTTCTAATGGAGGATTGGACCAATATAGTTCAGCTTAAACTATTATGAAGCATGTGTATCGCATTATAATTCAACTAATATTATTAGTCTTCAGATGATCGACGCTATCAATATATAGACAAGAGTGTTTAACAAAGTATTAAAGAAGTTTATAAAAATACTCGCTATTCAAGAGCAAATCCTTTTAAAAAATATATTTCCATTCAGGCTGAACTTTACAGCATTTTGCTGAAGTGTGAGACATAAGGGCCAACATGTGTAGGTGTGAGCAGGTGTAGGTGGGTGTGAGTGTGAGTGTGGGTGTGGGTGTGTGGGTGGGTGTGGGTCAGAATATCCAAGTACCGAAAATCCACACCCACACCCTTGTCGTATAGAA